TAAGACCTGAGATGCACATAAACTCTCTTTCTTGACTACCTTGTGTTTTGGATGCTGAGATCTTGGACCAAGCCTTTCAGCGTGGGACATAGCTCAGCTTTGCCGGGCCCTATGACAAATCTCCCATGGTTGTGAGTTTACCCCCAAACAAATTCCTTTGGTCATTAAGCTGATTCCATGGATTAAAAGCGATTTAATCACATTATGTGTGTTTTTGTTTTTGTTTTTAATTATGGGAGTGGGGTGGGGCTGGTATGTGCATATGAGTGTGGTTGCCTGTGGAGGCCAGAGGTGTCAGATCAACCTGAGCTGCAGTTAAACACTGGGTCATCTCCCCGGCCCCAGGGAGTCCTATCTTTTAAATATGTGTAAATTCTGCTTTCATGATAAAATACAAATCTGCTTTTCATTTCATCGTTCTGCAGTTCTCAAGGCTTAAGAAGTCCAAGTACTGCAGTATCAGGAGGTCAGTCAACATTTTTGGCTTTAAAAGGTAATTCTCAAACTAGAAAAGCTGGAAGTACTGGTGAAGGCTTCACCCTCGGGATTTGCTTTTGGTGTAAGTTCGAATGAAAATTGAGGCTAGAGGTCACCTTGTTACTTAGTCAAAAAAAAAGAAAAAAGTTGGGGAGTTGGTACAGCCCAAAGCCAAGATACAAATTTAGCCCACAAAAATCTAGACATTTTGTACTTCAGGCTTTCCAGCACAGGCATGCTGTGTCTTTCTGAACTGTTCTTCTAGCATTAAGTCAGAAGGGAGACACTTACAGACTTGGATCTTGACTTGGACTAAAGTCTCATAAGCTCCCCAAGTTCAAAAGAAGAATTTTTCAAAGAATTCGAGTTAAGTACCCAGCCTGTCTGAAGTGAATACAAAGTTTTAATAGCATTATGGAAAAACCCTGAACTCTTTACTTATATATATTGAGGCAAAAAAAAAAAAATCTTCCTTAATTCCCTCACAAACAAACGAACAAAACAAAACACATCAATATTTTCCTTTCAATTACATCTAGTCAATGTTTCAGTATCAAACTGAAAATCACTTCTCATCTTTTAAAAGCTGCCATTACTGTCTAAAAACCCCCTTAACATGATTTTACTATATAATGTGGAGTGTTTCATCTTTACAGCCAAGAACAAAGGATTCCAGAAGCCAACTTGTGTTTACCACAGTGTTTTATACAGCAGAGATTAAAAGCGGCAGGATGCAGTCATGCTAAGGTTGGATCAGCACACTGTACACTGGTAACTTATTAAGCAGACTCCGACACCCCCTGTTTAGCATCAGCTTGCATAGTTATTCACTAACCTCTTCTCGGCCAAATTTTATAACTGCAGATGCTATTTATGATTGCTTCGTGGAGACCCGTGGAAGACAGAGCTTTTAGCTCCAAAGGCTTTTCTCGATTCACTCTTTGTTCAGGATTTTGCAGAACACACACAAAAATGACCGTCTCCGAAAAGAGCATCCCTAAAAATGAACTCACAGACCCACCCCAAAATGAATAAAGTCTCTAGGGGTTGTTCCTTATTTCTTCTGAAAATTGTTAAAGAACATTCCAATATACCCCCCAAATTTGGAACTGATATGGGTTTGTCCTGGAGAAAACAGCCACCATGGTCTTTCAAATCAGTGACTGAGCTCAGATGCATGATTCCAGGTCTTCAGCTTCCACAATCTACAAGTCCTAAATTGAATTTTCTTTCTTTCCACAGGGTTCTGTCTGATTATAGTAATTGGTTCTACATTGTCTCATTTTGTGTCTGGACTGATATATTGATGTTTCTGGAAGAAGCTTTACAGGGGACCTAGTTTCCTGTTTTAAAAACATAGCAATGAAAAGTTGACCAGTGACATTCTGCTTTTTAGTGTACTTGTCAGAAGGGACTCATGAGTTCACCATTTCTCTGTTAATATTACTACTTGTTTAAAATTGTACTTGTATGCTGGGCAGTGGTAGCACATGCCTTTAGTCCCAGCACTTGGGAGGCAGAGGCAGGCAGATCTATTGAGTTCAAGGCCAGCCTGGTCTACAGAGTGAGTTCCAGGACAGGCTCCAAAGCTACACAGAGAAACCCTGTCTCAAAAAACCAAAAAATAAAATAAAATAAAATAAATAAATAAATAAATAAAATTGTACTTGTTTGCCGGGCAATGGTGGTACATGCCTTTAATCCCAGCACTCGGGAGGCAGAGGCAGACAGATCTCTAAGTTTGAAGCCAGCCTGGGCTACAGAGTGAGTTCCAGGAGAGCCAGGGCTACACAGAGAAACCCTGTCTCGAAAAAACAAAAAAAAAAAAAGTATTCGTGTATTTATTGTGTTAGGGAGGTGTGTATGTCACAATAACATGCATGTGGAGTTCAGAGGACAACTTGTGGGAGCCGGTTCTTGCCTTGCACCATGTGGGTTCCTAGCATCAAATTCAGCTTATCAGGCAAGGAAGCAAGCAGCTTTACCCATTGAACTATCTGACCTTCTCTACTTTGTTCTGCTTCTGTTTGTTCTGTTTTCTAAGACAGGGTCTTGCTATGTAGCACAGGCTGGTATCAAACTCACAACCCTCCTGTCTCTACATTCCCATCGCTGAGGGCGCCACCATACCCAGCTAATATAATCTGTTATTACTTTTATATTTTTGGTTGGCATTCCCCTAAAAGAAAAAATTTTTCTCATTTATTTATGTCACCATGGACTCATCATTAACAGGTTGCAATCTGTCACTATTACTACTTATTCTGATACTCATGGGCTGGGACTATGGCTCAGTACTTTCCTTGCTTGTGAGTAGTCCCTCAGTGCCACCAGAGGGAAAAGGAGAAAAAGAAGAAAGGAGGAGGGAGGCAGAGAGAGAAGAAAGCATATTATTTTGACGCTAACTGTTGTTCTTAATGGTACCTTCACAATAAGTGTTAGAAATAACACAGCTTGGGTGGGCTGGGGGGAAGGGGGGGACGATGCAATGTGATATGTAAAATTAAATTAAACAATAAAATAAAAATTAAAAAAATAACACAGCTTTACTGGGCACAGTTTCTTTGATTCTCACAACTCTGTTGAGCAAAAAAAAAAAAAAAAGTAATCTCTCTTAAGTGGTGCACTAAAGCCTTCTTTGCTAGTACAGACTGTGGCTAGACACCTAGATACTTTTTAGTCTAAGAAGACTTTTTTTTTCTTTTCTTTTTGGTTTTTCAAGACAGGGTTTCTCTGTGTAGCTTTGGAGCCTGTCCTGGAACTCGCTCTCTAGCCCAGGCTGGCCTCGAACTCACAGAGATCCGCCTTCCTCTGCCTCCCGAGTGTTGGGATTAAGGGCAGCACCACCACCGCCCGGCGAAGACTTTCTTAGGGAATTGAAGAAGAAAACCTCCCAGAACCACCTCACTGTGGGGACAGGGTGTGGCGATGCATGGCTTTTATTCCAACATTCTGGAGGCTGAGTCAGGTGGATCTCTGTGAGTTCCTGGCCAGCCTAATCGGCATAGTGAGTGCCAGGCCATCTGGGGCTACACAGTGAGACCCTGTGCAAACAACAAAAACAAACCTTACAGTGGGGAGACTTTCTTGTCCTTCACCAGACCACTATCCCAGGAGCAGGTGTTTAATGTTACACTGATTTGAGCATGGTGCATTTTATAACCCACAGGAATGAAGACGTCTGGAGAAGTAGCTTAGCGGGTAGTGGGTGGATTGACTGGAATGCAGGAGGCACTAAGTTCATCCTTAGCACTGAAAAAAGAAATTAGGGTGAAGTTTTCCTTACTCCAAATTACCCAAGATCCTACTCGTTTATATGGAGAATCAAAATTAACTGAGGAGCTGTAACTTCTTTCTAGCAATTTCTCCTATTTTTAACCATGGTAATTTGTGTACTTTTTTTTTAAGGCCACACGACTGACGCTTTTTTTGGATAAGGCAAACTTATAGCTGCTTTCCATTTTAGTTCTGGTGACACTCCGGATTTGTAGGAAGGCGTTGTTACTACAGGAGGTATCTAGCGACTCACTACTGCCGAAGTTGAACATTTACTTCTCTCCCCTAACTTGTTACAATTCTCGTTTCCTCGGTAGACCTTATCTATCTGCCCTAACAGCTGTGCCGATCTTTCTCCCTCTGAGAGGATTCACGTGTGAGGTACCCGAAGGTGCTAAAACCTCAACCCAAGAAACGGTAGTTACGTCTGCGTCAACAAGAGGGCACTGCCCTGCTGGCCACCAGTGCAACGCCTGCTCCCAGGTTTATCTTGGGCTCTACGAACCTTTAAAAATCATTCTATGCAAAACTACTGGCAACTTTCCCCAGGGGAGGCGGGTACCACGGGCCGGTCCCGGCCTCTGAATGTCAAGTGGGGCTGGTGACTGCCGTTTGAGGGGTTAATTTCCATTCCCTGGGAGGCCAGGGTTCAGACATTCAGGAGCAGCTTTCACTCAATAGCGTTCTCTCGGCCTTAACCTCGCGACGGACCCTGAATCTCCCTCTGCGCATCACCAAGGGCAAAGCCGAGGAGGGCTGGCCCGCTTCCGAAACCTTTAGGTGGGAAGATGATGCCCACTGCCCAGAGCCGAGAGTCCTCCGCAGCTGAGAGCAAGACACGCCAGAGAGCCGACGGGGTCACCGCAGCCGCCTCCACACTCCGGAATTGGAGTGCACTCACTGAGAAGACGCAACGCTGACAAAAGGGGCGGGGCTGCCGGCCGCACCCTCTCCGCCTTTACCCGCCTCCTTTGTTCCGTCCTGCGCCTCTATTGGCCAATGACACTCGGGCCCGCGACCTTCTTTGAGATGCTATTGGCCGAAGTCGCTGTCGCTCTGCCGGGGGCCCATTCGCAATTGGTCAAGGCGCCGCCCGGGTTTGAATCGTCTCCCCGGCCTGGGAGGGCTCTGCCAAAGTGCCACGTTGGGCCGGGCAGCGGGCTTGAGGAGCCGGCTCCGGGCGCCTCCCGGGGTGCGCTCGCTAGGGCGCTGGCCGTTGGGCGGCGCGAGGCGGACGCGGGGCGGCGGCGGCGGCGGGGCCGGCGCGTCCCGCCCGAGGGCGGCTCTGGCTGAGGGCGGAGGGGCCGGGGGACAGCCCGGGGCAGCGGCCGAGGCGGCACGGCGGCGGCAGAGCCCGCTGCCCCCGGACGTCCCCGGCGACATGCTGGCAGATAACCTGGTGGAGGAGTTTGAGATGGAGGATGAGCCGTGGTATGACCACCGGGACCTCCAGCAAGGTGAGGGCGAGGTCGCCGGCATTGGGGGTGGGGGCCCGGGAGGCGGCAGGTGTGGAAAGTGCTAGAAAGTTCCTTGGGGTGGTGGTCTGGGATGCGCGGCCGGGGACTCCTCGCGCTCACCTGGCAGCGGATCCGCCCATCCCGGCCGCCGGGAGCAAGCGCGGGGGCCCACGGCCCTGCGAATGCGCAACACTGGCTGATGCTTGGCGCTTAAAGAAAGAGCTTTCGGGGGATGAGCGGATCTGTCTCCTTCGGGGACCTCTGAGGTGGGCAGGGGTGAACCAGCGTACCCCGCGCTAGAAGCAGGCTGCTGACTCGGCTCCGGGTCCTGCTACCCTGCCTGCCCTCATGCGCTTTTCTTGGCCCGCAGAGTCTGCAAGCCGCTGCAGGTGGTGGGGGGGCAGTACTGCTGTGCGGTACCCGCGCCATCACTCTGTGAGAATAATGTTTTGTTATCCCGTTTTCCAGAAAGCAGGGGCTAAAAGAGTTAAAGTGGAGTCCCTAAAGCCGAATATGGGAGCGAGTATTTTTGATCCCACACACTCGGGATGAGGAGCCTGTAGACACTGTTCAGACAGACATTAGCATCCCAATTTATAACTTACTCAGTTGGATGTCAGACTGCTTTATTACTTAGGCGCCGTTCATCGAATGCCAAGTGAAATTATTTGAGAAGAGTTCTATCATGCCCTTTTTTTTCTACTTCTTGCATTCCGGCTTTCAATTAAAAATTATTCTGCCTTGGTTTTCTTGATTGCGGCATCTCCAGAGAACAGTCTCAAGAGTGCCCTCAGTCTGAAGCCAATGGCACATTTACTTGCACATTCGTAGCAAGATTTTGCACTTGAGGACACTGATAGACTCTTAACACACAGATAGGCGCCTTTAATTCTCCCGATAACATCAAGTGTTGCCATAGGTTACCTCTGGCTCAAGGAGATACTATTGTGGAAACTAGGTTTTCACTGCAGACTCCAGAGCAAACATTCTTAACCACCATGCAGAGTGATCTTCAGTAATTCTTTCAAGCATCCTGTTTGTTCTATTCTATATAATTATTTCCACTTTAAACTTGTAGTGAAAATTAATATCTCTTGGAGTTGGCTATTAAACACTGCTGCTTGTTCACAATTCCACTGAATGTGACAGTAAAAGGAAAATGTGGTCTTGAATGACCTGTACTTAGAAAAAGAAAACAAGTACCTCTTTGGAGAGGTGGTAATTTGTTTGTTATTTATTTGTCTGTCTTGATCCCTTAATGTGCAACGACTTAAGCCCAAATGGATCCCTGTACTTCTATAATTGAAGCTACCTAGCAGTTTCAATGCCGATTTGCCATCACATTTCTCCATGTCCGGAAGACAGATTGGTCATACATTTAGCCTATTTCAGATTGGCCCCATAAGGATTGATGACCTACTTTGATACTTCAGGACTGAAGCAATCACTGTGTGATTGCAACATTTTACTATGTGAAAGCAATTCATGTAATCCAAGTAAGAGATTTTTCTTTGCCATATTTAAGAAGCAGCCAAAATCTTGAAGGGCAGGTTGGTCTCTTCCATATCTAGCATCATATATTACACTTCAAAATAGAAACTTGAATTAATATTTGTTGACCTGAACTGAAGCTCTCTCTCACACAGGATTACTGTTTTCACGGCTGTCCTCTATCCAGTGCCCTAGTCCACCTAACAACCAAACCCACCTCCCCAGGAGGTTATCAGGACAACCAGTTGCACTATCTCAGACTACTGAGCAGTAAACAAAACACGTTTGGGGCTGTGTATGTGGGATTCTTAACTTCTGATCAAAATGAGGTTGTCACATCTTCAAGTTTAACAAATCCTAACCTCTGAGCTTATTTACTATCAATTTCCACTTGGAATTTCCTCTATACTCTCCAAAGGCTTTTACATCTGTTATCACAGTGGACTTTGCCATAGCGTCTGTATCATAAATAGCCATTTAGAGTACAAATGGAAGATGTGAAATCCCAACTGTTAACTTGTCAGTATGCCCCTGAAAGAATGATGGCTGCTCTTTTGAGCGTATTTTCAATGTTGCTAACTTATATGTTAAACAGTTTTGTGCATTTGGTGTGCTGGGTTTGATCCCAGGGCCTCAGTGCATGCTAGGCAAGCAATGTACCCCTGAGCCAGCCTAGAACTAAACTTTAAACAGAGTTTACAACTGTTTCTCAAGAACATATTGTTTTCTGTATACTAGGCGTTCATGTAGGCAGTAGCCCACTGTCCTAGCCAGCTGTCTGTTAGAAAGGTAGAGCCGCACTCACGGGGGTGCATTCGTGAATCCATGCAGTAGAGACATCTGGAGATGTTAGCAAATGTAGACCCTCAGCATTTGCTGCTAAGTCGTTTGGGACCAGCCCTGTCCCTTTGGTAGATTAAGGAGCTCGAGTCGGCTTTTATCTTGTGTTCTTTATCATCTTCATTATTAACTTAGGTAGATTTGTATTGCATCGATGGCCTAAAACACCTTACAAACGATTTTAAGACTTGTTTGATAGGTTCTTACTCCGTCGCCCAAGCTGGCTTTGAACTCACGAAGTCCTTCTGCTTCACTGTCCTAGTTAGGGTTATGATTGCTATGAAACACCATGACCAAAATAAGTTAAGGAGGAAAGGGTTTTTTGGCTTACACTTTGACAATAGCCCATCACGAAGGAATTCAGGACAGGAACTCAAGCAGGGCTGGATCCTGGAGACAGGAGCTGATGCGGAGGCCATGGGGGGTGTTCTGCCTAGCTTCCTCAGCTTGCTTTCTTATAGAACCCAGGACCACCAGCACAGGGGTGGCCCCACCCACATTGGGCCCCTCCTCCACCAATCACTAATTAAGAAAATGCCCTACAGGATTGTGTACAGCCTTATCCTACTGAGGTATTTTCTCAATTTTGGTTCCCTCCTCTCTGATAACTCTGTCAAATTGACATAAAACTAGCCAGCACACTCAACTTCCCATCGAGCTTAAATGTGTAAGCCATAGAGCCTAGCTTTATTTGGGGTGAGGGGTGGTGGGACGTACCATGGAATGTATATGGAGGTCAGAGAGACTTGTAAGTCAGTTCTCTCATTCTGCCTTATGGGTCCTGGGAATTTAACTCAGTTTATCAGGTTTAATGGCCAGTGCTCTTACCACACTAAGCCATCTTACCAGTTCTTATTTACTTTCTGAGATAGGATCTTGGTGTGTAACCCAGGCTGGTCTCAAACTCATGGCAATCTTCCTGCCTCAGTCTGCTGAACGATTAGATTACCATGCCTACTTTCTCTTCTTCAATGTGTTACTTACTGTGTGTTGGAGAGGAGGTGCATGCCATGTACATGTGTAGAGGCAGGTCTCTACTGCCTTTGCATGGCTTCCCAGGATCAAACTCTGATCCCAGGCTTGGAAAGCAAGTGCCTTTGCCCTCTAAGCAAATTTATTTTTACTTTATGTATATGTTTGCCTGCATGTATGTATGTATGCTACGTGTGAGTTGTGCCCGAGGCGGCTAGAAGATGATGTCTGAACCCCTGGAACTGGAGTTACAGGCAGTTGTGAGCCACTGTGTGATCTCTGGGTACTGAACTAGGTCCTCTGCAAGTGCTCTTAACCTCTGAGCCATCTCTCCAGCCCCATGGCCTGCTAAATAAAACAATTAAAAAAAAATTTTTCCAGCAGAGCACAGTGGCAGGTTTGATGGTACACACCTTTCCAGGTGGATCTCTGTGAGTTCGAGGCCAGCCTGGGATACAAAGCAAGCTCCAGGCCAGCCAAGGCTGTAATAGTGAGAATCTGTCTTTAAAAAAAAAAAAATTCTCTGAAGCCTTAGGACTATCCTTTTTTTTTTTTTAATTTATTAATGGATGCCATTATCTAAGTAGATAAACTGTGTCAACGTTTGTTAGCTTCCTTTCTATTCAAGTTAAAATAACGAAAACATTCTAACCTCAGTCAACTCTGGTCTCCTATTCATATCTTGTTACGTGTAGAGCTGCGCAGACACAGGAATGCTTTGACGAAGAGACTTTTGTTAGAAGGCTGCGTTGGCACACTAAGAACACTGACAGTAATCTCTGGGCACGGTCTTTTCTGGGACAGCAGGAACCTTCTGTGTAGGTAATGATGGCCCTTGCTTTGAAATGTGCTCCAAGAGCACAGTGGAAAGGCTTCAAAGACTGGTTTTCCTCTAGACCAGCTGCCATTACACTTGTCACTTGTGGAGCGGTGCAGGCATTAGAATGAGGATTCGGGGTGCAGGCGGATAGATCACCGAATGAAGTCGTAGTTTAAAGGAATCCTGAAATTCCTTTGCAAGATGAGTGCATCTTTCTAAATTTCAGGATGAGCTCATCTCCGAATTCCTAATGTGCGTTTAATTGCTGCGTCATTGTTTAGAGGGTCATTAAAACTGACACCATCCTTTTTCTTGATGTTTATGTTGAGGTGGTGTGTGTGTGAGTGTGTGTTCTCAATTATAGCAATGTTGGCAACAGATATTGAACAGAAACGTCACCAGATGACGCATCTGACTTTGTAATAGGAAAAGCTTCCAGCCTTCGTGTTACTGAATTACTGCTGTAGATTACAACTAATAAAATGCTGTCCTCTGCTTTTTTTGTTTGTTTGTTCATGTTTAAGAAACAAGTAAAATGAGAAGAATGTAATAAGTTCTGGAAGAAAGATCTTTTAAAAAAAAAAATCAGGTACTCTTGCTAATGTTTTGGTCCAAGTAGAGGGCTGAGTGAAATCTGTTTAAAGCTAACAGCCTACATTGTGAAAGTAGAACATATTAGGGCTAAGGATGTGACTCAGTGGTTGAGCCCTTGCTTATTGTGTATGAGGTTCTGCGATTGATTCCCTAACATTAAAGAAAAAAAAAAAATTACCTGCCAAGACTGATTAATAAAAGAATATCAAACATGTAGAGCACTGATGCATTGTAAATCTATGATATTTATAGTGACTGCCTAAGCCAGGCCAGTTCAGTAGGA